TCGAGGATTAATTGTGTCTGTGTGTTTCGTTTCCTCCTGACTATCGGCAAGCCCGAACGCCTCGCCACTGCTCGAGGGTGGGGCGCTGGCGGCTCTGGGAGCGCCCCCAGGGCGGCCGCTCCCCGCGGGGGGGGGGGGGTCCAACGGGCCTCGTCGAACCCGCCTGCCTCGGGGCCCGGCTGCTGGACCCGTGGGGCTGCACCGCTCTTGGAGGGGGCCCCGGGCGCGCTGCCGAGCACCTCTTCGCCCGCCCCCCGCTCTGGTGAGATCTGGGGTGCCGTCTGGCGGCGCGCACAAAAGGCGGTGGGGGGAGGGGGGGAGGCTTCTTGGAAGGATGCGGCTTCCTGGAAGGCGCCGCGCTACACCTAGAGATAAGGCCCGCCCCATCTAAGAAGCAGGGGTGCTTCTTCTTGGAAGGCGCCGCGCTACATCTATAGAGAAGGCCCACGCCATCTAAGAAGCAGGGGTGCTTCCAAGAAGCCTGCCCCCCTCCCCCCCCTCCGCGCGCCGCTGAGCCACAGGGAACGCTGAAGAGGAGCGGAGGAGCTTTTCTGGCCACGGCGAGCCTCGGCTTCGAGCAGGTCCCCTGGCCTATACCTGCGGGGCGGCCAGAAGACCAGATTCCCTCCCGACCCCCAAACAGGCCCGTTCGTTCATCGTCTTGACGGTACGCACCAACACTACCTGCATTCCCCACCTTCCTCCTCCGCCCTCCTCTTCCTCTCCTATTTCCCGTAAGAGGGAGAGGGAGTGGAGTGGAGTGGAGCCCGTGGCGGATGCAAGTCTGTCCCGATCAACCCAATAACTTGTGCTCGACCGCCGTGCCGTCCTCTTGGCTTGGCTGAGGACCTTGGGCGTTAAACCAGCCGCAAGTCTGTCGAGGTACTCCAGATTTCGTAACAAAGGGAGGGGGGTCTCATTTCGGGGGGGGGCTCTTCCAGGCCATCTTGGAGGGCCTGGGGGGGCCTGGGGACGATGTTCTGGAGGGTTCTCCCACGGGGGGGGGGGTCTAAAACTTCTCGTCTGGGAGGGTTGAGACCCCCTCCCTTTGATCAGAGCGTGAATTACCTCCCCCGCTTTCGCTTCCAGGCAAAACCAAGCCATACCACGCGCCTCCTCGTCAAGCGGCCTGACCAGTACAGGCCGCAATTTGGCACCGTTTGGTATCCCTTGGAAGCGAGGGTGGTCAAAAGCGAGGGAGGTTTGTTTTCCCCCGATTTGATTACGAAATCTGGAGTATTCTCGCTGGGTCCTGTTCATCTGCTCACGGCAAGGCCGCCCCAGGAGGCCACTCGCAGATTGTCAGGCCCCGCGGCCCCTGCCGTTCCTGCCGATATCTCCGCGGCCGCTGCCGTCCCCGCCCCGCGCCCCCGCGCTGCTGTTGCCCGTACACCATGCGAAATGCTTAAGAAATCATGGGTTAAGAAACTCAGTCTCAGAACTTGGATAAAAACCCAACGTTTCTACTAGAATGTTAGGATTCACATCGAAACATTAAGAATAATCGAGACTCTGACCGAAAACTAAGTTTTCTGAAGCATCGCCTAAGGTGTATATGCTTCTGGATACTGCTCACGTGATCCTCCCCCGGGTAACAACGACTCAACCATACAGGGCAATGTTTAATACATGGGATGTTTTAAAATATCTGTTTTTCATACATGATTAGTTTAGAACTAAATGAATGCATGAACTCATCTTTGTTTCTAATACCAAATCCCTGCATGCTTGATACATGCTCCGCACGCGGAACATGTATTAAAAACGGCACTGTACACTTTCGGCACTCCGCGCGGATTGCTTGGATCTGCGCTGAGGCCCCCTCCCTGGCGCGCGGCACGCGCCGAGGGCGGCGCCGAAGCCGCCACCACGGGGGGCCCCAGCGCGGATCCAAGACACCCGCGCGGAGCCCCAGAAGTTCTTGCTCATGGTACTGTTTCTTCTTCGACCTACAGTCAAACAGTATAGTAAGGACGCGAGGTAAGGACACAAGACCCTTGAAGGCCGAAGTTGGGTTTTTGAGGGCGGCGGGCGACCAGTGATAAGGGCAAGGATGAGCCTCAGAGGCAAGGACACAAGGGTACCCTAGATGAAAGCGCGCGTCCTTACTAGGCGCGTTGACTGTAATCCGACAGACAGCGGATGCTAGGGGGGGGGGGGGGGGGGGGGGGGGGGGGGGGCAACGTGAGCTCCTTCACCGCCATTACGGCGTCGTCGTCCGCCGACAGCGGTGCTCCTTCTGAGTAGGCTCGGTCCCGATGGCTGCTGTCGTCCAGTGCTGCCGCTGGCTCCACGGCGCATGGCGAACTGCGGGAGCTTCTACCCCTCCAATCGCTCATCCGCATTCCCTTCCTGCGGCTGCTGCTGCCCCTCCTCCCAAATACGCTTGGCGTCGGCGAGGCAACCGTGCAACAGCGCTGTCCGGAGCGCACGCCATCTCTGTGAGGCGATGCCCCCGCCGGGTCCCCTTCTGTGCCTGCGAATCCCCTTTCAGGGCTTCGTCAGTGCACGCTGTCCCCAAGGTGACAGCGTGTAAAATAAGCTGCCCAAACGGCGCCACATCGCACGCGATCCTTGCAACGCCTGCCGTGTCGTCATCATCCTCCTGCAGTCCTCCTCGTCTGCCTGCTCCCTGGCCATCGCTGGGACGTCCATTCCCTGTGTTTTTTGTCGGTTTCGTGCGTGTTTTTTTCGCCACATGACCAAGGATTCTCCTCGATGGTCCTCGCCGAAGGAAAAAAAACACACGTCCGAGCGATGCCAAGCTCCAGGGCGGGTGCGCCGACGGGATCCCATCATCTGGCCAGGCCAGATGGAGGCTCGACCTCGGATCCCCAACGGCGGCGCTCCTATCTGTCTCCAGTGAGAGCCCGTGGAGGAGGACAGCAACCACTGCAGTGCCCGCTGCGTTCCGACGTGCTGTCCCTCCTGCGCTGGGTGGGACATATACCCATCGGTCGGAAGAAGTAGGTAGAAACATAAAGTAGGAAGGCGTTGGAAATAGATTGGGTTTCCGCCCGCCTCCTGAAGAGGAAGGAAGGACGAAAACCACTCGACTCTTGAAGTAGGAAGGCGCTGAAAAAAGATTGGAATCTGGGAATCCAAAAATACGTACTTTCAACGACCGGTGGGTACACATCCACCGCCTGTCGAATCGACGCCCTGGGAGCGAAACGGATGGCTGTGAGTTGGCCCAGGGCCCCAGAAATTATCCATAATTATCCACGTCTGCAAAAGTCCCCGAAAATCCGCCTGTCGAATCGACGCCCTGGGAGCGAAACGGGCGGTGGATATGGCTGCGTGTTGGCCCAGGGCCCCAGAAACTATCCATAATTATCCACCGCCTGCAGAAGTCCCCGAACATCCGCCTACCCTTCGGCGTGCAGAGATCGTCGTCGTCGTCGTCGTCGTCGTCGTCGTCATCGCCAGTCCCGAGGAAATTGGGGACCAGGGAAAGGAACGCCGTAGTTAAGACGAAGGGAAGCCCTTTCCCTCTATCCCTGCCGGGAGGGGTGATCCTGGAGGGGGTTGGGGAGGGGTGGGGAGGAAGGTGGGGGGCCCCTGGTCAGAGTGCCGCCCCCTCTGGGGTCCTGGCGGGTCCGGGGGGGGTCGCCAGCGGGGGTCCTAGGGGAGGTCCCGCCTTCAGGGTCGGCGGCACCGGTCATAAGGCCTTCTGAATCAATCCCCCAGATGGTGCTTCTAGTAAATGAATCCCGGCCTCGGGTCCTTGCTTTATGTCGGGCATGTCCCCCTACAGGGGGATTTTCGACGAAAAAATGAAAATACACCAAACATACTTCAAAAAGGTCGAACAATATGAACAAACATACTATTTTTGGAGTATGTTTTGACCATTTGTGGGGTATGTTTTATTTTTCATCAAAAATCCCCCAATAGGGGGACAGGCCCGACATAATCCTCGCTCTCCACCGCTCCCCCAGCCCTGTTGCAACTGCCCCTGGTACCGCGCCGCCCGCACCTCCTGGCCACGCTCCTCCCCGGCACCCCTCCCACAGGGGTAGCGATCCCCGAGCGCCCCGCTGTGACTGCATCCGAGACGTGTCTCCCTCCTCCCGCCTCATCCGTCTCCTCCGCCTCATCCTTCTCATCCTCCACCTCCTCCTCCTCCTCCTCCGCCTCCTCCTCCTCCTCCTCTGCCTCCTTGGCCTCCGCCCCCTTCTCCTCCTCCTCCTCCTCCTCCTCCTTGTTCTTCTTCTTCTTATTCTTCTTCTTCTTATCACTATTTTTGTTATTGTTGTTATAATTATTATGATTGTGATTATTCTTAGTATTATTCATGTAATCAGTATTATTCTTATTATTCTTATCATTAGTATTAGTAGTAGTTGTAGTAGTAGTAGTCGTACTAGTAGTAGTAGTAGTAGTAGTAGTAGTAGTAGTAGTAGTAGTAGTAGTAGTAGTAGTAGTAGTAGTAGTAGTAGTAGTAGTAGTAGTAGTAGTAGTAGTAGTAGTAGTAGTAGTAGTAGTAGTAGTAGTAGTAGTAGTAGTAGTAGTAGTAGTAGTAGTAGTAGTAGTAGTAGTAGTAGTAGTAGTAGTAGTAGTAGTAGTGTAGTAGTAGTAGTAGTAGTAGTAGTAGTAGTAGTAGTAGTAGTAGTAGTAGTAGTAGTAGTAGTAGTAGTAGTAGTAGTAGTAGTAGTAGTAGTAGTAGTAGTAGCAGTAGTAGTAGTAGCATTGATAAAATTATGATTCGTATTCCTCCTCCTCCTCCTCTTCCTCCTCCTCCTCCTCCTCCTCCTCTCCCTCCGCCTCCACCCCCTCCCCCCCTCCAAAGAAGCCGAACCCCGTGGGGCGAACGGACCGAAAGAGGTGGACGGAGCGAGCACCACGGGCCAGCGCAGCACATCCCCCCCCAAATGCCCGAGCCCCAACCCCGACCCCTGGCCTTGCCAGCGCGCGCGCCCCACAGCAGGGCCGACGAGCCCGTCGCGCCGATGTTAGCCCCCTGGACCACCACCGGCGGCACGACGCCTCCTCGGCGCCTCTGCGGGAGAGCGGCGGAGGAGGAGGAGGATGAGGAGGAGGAGGAGGAGGAGGAAAGAAGGAGGAGGAGGAAAGAAGGAGGCGGAGGAGGAGGAGGAGGGCAGGAGGAGGGTGACGCTGGCGCAGAGGGGCGGCTCAGCTTCTTTCTGCTGGGAGGCCCGCGTGGCCTACTCAGGGCACCCTGCACGAGGCCGAGAAGGGGAGGCCCAGGAACCACAGACGGCGCAGCAGATCCAGGGGAATCGTGCGCCGGGAACGCCTCTGGCGGCTAGCTTCCCAAACCCTCCCGCGCCGTGCAAGAATCACGATGCCTGAGGCTTCTCGTTATTTCTGGCCTCTGGGGGGATCCTTGCCGGGCCTCGGGAGCGTCACCAACCGACTCAGGACGAAACACAGGTCCGGAGGAAGGGGTCCGGACCTCTGGGAGTCGACGCTGCGATAAAAAAAACGATGTCGGGGGTCTGGACTGCCAGCCTTGGCTGGTCGCAAACGGGGCTCCGAATCGCCTCCCTCCTGCTGCTCCCGTTCATGCTGCCGCTCGTGTGCCCGCCGTTCTGCGGGTGCTCCCGTTCTGCTCCGCCCCACCCGCTGTGCCTGCGCTCCATTTCCGCCGCCGCCTCTTCCGCACTGCACTCCTCGCACTGCAACTCATGTGTCAATCCGTCCTCGGCGGTCATGCGTCCTCCGTGCTCGAAATCGAATAGTTCGGTTGCTCCCCTTGTGTCCTCCTCGTCGTTCTCGCTGCCCTGATCACGGAAACGTTGCTGACCATGGCGTTCGGAATGAGACCGTTCCGAGTCTTCCGCGCACAGTGCTGGCGATCTGGGGCGTGCGATCACAGCGCTCTGACTTCCACGGCGGAACATCGAAATCCAGGTTTCGTGGCCTTCACCGCCGGCCACGTGGCGAAGGCCACGACACCTGGATTTCGCAGTGTGTGGGTGTGTGTGTGTGTGTGTGGGTGGGCGTGTGGCTGGGTGCGTGGGTGCGTGAGCGTGTGGGTGTGCGTGTGTGTGTGTGTGTGTGGGTGTGTGGCTGTGTGTGTGGGTGTGTGTGTGAGTGGGTGTGGGTGTGTGTGTGTGTGTGGGTGTGTGGGTGTGGGTGTGTAGGTGGGTGTGTGAGTGGGTGTGGGTGGGTGTGTGGGTGGGTGTGTGGGTAGGTGTGTGTTGTGTGTTGTGTGTGTGTGTGTGTGCGTGTGCGCGTGTGCGTGTGCGTGGTGCGTGTGTGCGTGTGTGCGTGTGCGTGTGGGCGTGTGGGCGTGTGTGCGTGTGGGTGTGTGGGTGTGTGGGTGTGTGTATGCGTGTGTGTGTGTGTGTGTGTGTGGGTGTTTGGGTGTGTGAGTGTGTGTGGGTGTGTGGGTGTGTGGGTGTGTGGGTGTATGGGTGTGGTGTGTGGGTGTGTGTGCGTGTGCGTGTGCGTGCGCGTGTGCGTGCGCGTGTGCGCGTGCGTGTATTGTGTGTTGTGTGCGTGTGCGTGCGCGTGTGTGTTGTTTGTGGTGTGTGTTGTGTGTGTTGTGTGTGATGTGTGTTGTGTGTGTTGTGTGTTGTGTAATGTGGGTGTGTTGTGTGTGTTGAGTGTGTTGTGTGTGTTGTGTGTGTTGTGTGCGTTGTGTGTGTTGTGTGTTCTGTGTGTGTTGTGTTGTGTGTGCGTTGTGCGTGTTGTGTGTGTTGTGTGTTGTGTGTGTTGTGTGCTGTGTGTGTTGTGTGTGTGTTGTGTAATGTGTGTGTTGTGTGTGTTGTGTGTGTGTGTGTTGTGTGTTGTGTGTTGTGTGTGTTGTGTGTGTGTTGTGTGATGTGTGTGATGTGTGTGTTGTGTGTTATGTGTGTTGTGTTGTGTGTGCTCTGTGTGTTCTCTGTGTGTTGTGTGTGTTGAGTGTGTTGTGTGTGTGTGTGTGTGTTCTGTGTGTTGCTTGTGTGTTGTATGTGCTGTGTGTGTTGTGTGTGTTGTGTGTGTTGTGTGTTGTGTGTGTGTGGGTGTGTGGGTGTGTGTGTGTGTGTGTGTGGGTGTGGGTGCGTGTGTGGGTGGGTGTGTGGGTAGGTGTATGGGTGTGTTGTGTGTGCGTGTGTGCGTTTGTGCGTGTGTGCGTGTGTGCGTGTGTGCGTGTGTGCGTGTGTGCGTGTGCGCGTGCGCGTTTGCGCGTGTGTGGGTGTGTGTGTGTGTGTGGGTGTGGGTGCGTGTGTGGGTGTGTGTGTGGGGGCGTCTGGGTGTGTGGGTGAGCGAGTGTGTGGGTGTGTGGGTGTGTGGGTGTGTGGGTGTGTAGGAGTGTGGGTGTGTGTGTGCGTGTGCGTGTGCGTGTGCGTGTGCGCGTGCGTGTATTGTGTGTTGTGTGCGTGTGCGTGCGCGTGTGTGTGTTGTGTGTGTGTGTGTTGTGTGTTGTGTGCTGTGTGTGTGTGTGTTGTGTGTGATGTGTGTGATGTGTGTTGTGTGTGTGTGTTGTATGTGTGTTGTGTGTAGTGTGTGTTGTGTGTTGTGTGTTGTGCGTGTTGTGTGTGTGGTGTGTGTGTGTTGTGTGTGCTGTGTGTGTTGTGTGTGTGGTATGTGTTGTGTGTTGTGTGTGTTGTGTGTTGTGTGTGTTGTGTGTGTTGTGTGTGTTGCGTGTGTTGTGGGTGGTGTGTGTGTGTTGGGTGTGTTGTGTGTGTGTGTTGTGTGTTGTGTGTTGTGTGTTGTGTGTGTTTGTGGTGTGTGTGTTGTGTGTGTTGTGTGTTGTGTGTGGTGTGTGTTGTGTGTGTGTGTTGTGTGTTGTGTGTGGTGTGTGTGCTCTGTGTGTTCTGTGCGTGTTGTGTGTGTGTGTTGAGTGTGTTGTGTGTGTGGTGTGTCTGTTGTGTGTGTGTTGTATGTGTTGTGTGTGTTGTGTGTTGTGTGTGTTGTGTGTTGTGTGTGTGGGTGTGTGGGTGAGTGGGTGTGTGGGTGTGTGTGGGTGTGTGGGTGTGTGTGTGGGTGTGTGTGTGTGGGTGTTTGCGTGTGTGTGTGTGTGTGCGTGTGTGCGTCTGTGCGTGTGTGCGTGTGCTCGTGTGTGCGTGTGTGGGTGTGTCGGTGTGTGGGTGTGTGGGTGTGGGTGTGTGTGTGTGGGTGTGTGGGTGTGTGGGTGCGTAGGTGTGTGGATGTGTGTGCGTGTGCGTGTGCGTGTGCGTGTGCGTGTGCGCGTGCGTGGATTTTGTGGTGTGAGCGTGTGCGTGCGCGCGCGTGTGTGTGTGTGTGTGTTGTGCGTGTTGTTTGTGTGTGGTGTGTGTTGTGTGATGTGTGTGATGTCTGTTGTGTGTGTGTGTTGTCTGCTCTGTGTGTTGTGTGTTGTGTGTTGTGTGTGTTGTGTGTGTGTTGTGTGTGTGGTGTGTGTGTCTTGTGTGTGTGCTGTGTGTGTTCTGTGTGTTGTGTGTGTGGTGTGTGTGTTGTGTGTGCTGTGTGTGTTGTGTGTGTGTGTTGTGTGTGCGTTGTGTGTGGTGTGTGTGTGTTGTGTGTGTTGTGTGTTGTGTGTGGTGTGTGTGTTGGGTGTCGTGGGTGTGTGTTGTGTGTGTGTTGTGTGTTGTGCGTGTTGTGTGATGTGTGTGTTGTGTGTGTTGTGTGTTGTGTGTTGTGTGTGGTGTGTGTGCTCTGTGTGTTCTCTGTGTGTGGTGTGTGTGTTGAGTGTGTTGTGTGTTGTGTCTATTGTGTGTGTTGTCTGTGCTGTGTGTGTTGGGTGTGTGTTGTGTGTGTTGTGTGTGTTGTGTGTGTGTGGGTGTGTGTGTGTGTGGGGGTGTGGGTGTGTGGGTGTGTGTGTGTGTGTGTGGGAGTGGGTGGGTGTGTGTGGGTGTGTGTGCGTGTGTGCGTGTGTGCGTGTGTGCGTGTGTGCGTGTGTGTGCGTGTGCGTGTGTGTGCGTGTGTGCGTGTGTGGGTGTGTGGGTGTGTGTGTGTGGTGAGTGGTGTGTGTGGGTGTGTGTGTGGTGTATGTGTGTGGGGGTGGTTGGGTGTGTGAGTGTGTGGGTGGGGTGTGTGGGTGTGTGGGTGTGTGGGTGTGTGGGTGTGTGGGTGTGTGGGTGTGTAGGTGTGTGGGTGTGTGTGCGTGTGCGTGTGCGTGTGCGTCTGCGTGTGCGTGTGCGCGTGCGTGTATTGTGTTGTGTGCGTGTGCGTGCGCGTGTGTGTATGTGTTGTGTGTTGTGTGTGTTGTGTGTGTGCTGTGTGTGATGTGTGTTGTGTGTGATGTGTGGTGTGTGTGTTGTGTGTGTGTGTGTGTTGTGTGTTGTGTGTGTTGTGTGTGTGTGTTGTGTGTTGTGTGTGTGGTGTGTGTAAGTGTGGTGTGTGCTGTGTGTGTGTTGTGTGTTGTGTGTGCGTTGTGTGTGGTGTGTGTGTGTTGTGTGTGTTGTGTGTTGTGTGTGGTGTGTGTGTTGGGTGTGCTGTGTGTGTTGTGTGTGTTGTGTGTTGTGTGTGTTTGAGGTGTGTGTGTTGTGTGTGTGGTGTGTGTGGTGTGTTGTGTGATATGTGTGATGTGTGTGGTGTGTGATGTGTGTGGCGTGGGATGTTGTGTGTGCTCAGTGTGTTATGTAAGTGTTGTGTGTTGAGTGTGTTGTGTGCGTTGTGTCTGCAATGTGTTGTGTGTGTTGTGTGTGTGTTGTTTGTGTGTGTTGTGTGTTGTGTGTGTTGTGTGTTGTGTGTTGTGTGTTGTGTGCTGTGTGTTGTGTGTTTTGTGTTGTGTATGTTGTGCGTGGTGTGTGTGTGTGTTGTGTGTGGTGTGTGTGTGTTGTTTTTTTGTGTGTGGTGTGGGTGTGTGTGTGTGTTGTGTGATGTGTGAGTGATGTGTGTGTGTGTTGTGTGTGTGTGTGCGTTGTGTGTTGTGTGTTTTGTGTTGTGTGTTGTGTGTGTTCTGTGTGTTCTGTATGTGTTGTGTGTTGAGTGTGTGTTGTGTGTGTGTTGAGTGTGTTGAGTGTGTTGAGTGTGTGTTATGTGTTGTGTGTGTGTTGTGTGTTTTGTGTTGTGTGTGTTGTGCGCTGTGTGTTGTGTGCTGTGTGTTGTGTGTTGTGTGTGCGTG